TGTCAGAAAGCTTTTAACTTCCCTTTCCTGCCTCAGCAGAACCACATGCAGGTTACTTCTGATTCTTTCTTATCCATTGAAAAATTACATTTTCCACTTGCTTCTCTCTGCTTGTGGCATGGGTTTTACCTGCTGGGATGGCACTGATTGAGGCCCTGCATTGCTGAGCAGGGAAATGTCTTTGTGGACACCCTTTGGCTGCTGAGATGAGCTGGACACCAACAGCATAGTCTGGAAGCAGCAAAATTCTCATTTGCCATTATTTTAATGTCTTAAAGAGGCAGATGGGCTGTTGGGAAGGGTCAGATTCCTTCAGAGGGATGAATGTCCCTCATGAGCCTCCCTGTTCTGATATAATCATTCCTGCATTGGCCAGATGTGATCCCAGCATGGGTGAGTGAATTCCCTGAGTAACAAAACCCTTGGTGGCCTGCAGGGACAGCTGGAATTGCCATGTTTGCAGGGATCAGGGGATGTGGGGCTGCCTGGATTGAGGCTGAAGTGGCAGTGAGGAATGCACAAACTTCTGTGTGCATCAGACTTAGAACTCCTGGAAAACAAAGAAAGATTCAACCTGAACTCCTGGAAAACAAAGAAATATTTAAGCTGAAAAACTCAGAAAAAGAATCATGGAATGGTTGGGGTTGGAAGGGACCATGAAGATCACCCAGTTCCACCCCTGCCATGGCAGGGTCATCTTCCACTATCCCAGGTGGCTCCAAGCCCCATCCAACCTGACCTTGGCACTTCCAGGGATGGGACAGACACAGCAAGACCAGTCTGCTGGGAAAAAAAAGCTTTATTTTCTATTCATTACCACAAAAAATGTGATTAGAAACCTCTGCTAGACCTTGAGCACATCAGAACATGTTATTACAACACATTTATCATCAGTGACTTGCATGCTGGTCATGCCTAATTACTTCTCTTGGTTCCTTCCTGCAGTTTAGAGGAAGAGTGCATCCATTTTTGCATACATCAGGCACACTGAAGCTGCTTTATCAGCTTCTGGTTCATAAAAATGGAAATCCATTACCAGTTGCAAATGCCTCCCTGGGCATATTTGCAGAAATAGTGGTTCTTCATTGTTAACTGGGAGTGAAGCTCTGGGGAGGGATTCCCAGTAAGGGAAGTGGTGGTTGCCTTTGCAAAGGGCTCTTCTTGAAAAGAGATATTAAAGATAAAACTTTCCTCTCTGAGAGTGTTCACAGGTAACAGGAAATGGCCCAGTGACTGTTACCCAGGGAAGCTGTGACAGACATCCACAAAAAATATCAGTGCTTTGATAGACTTAACATATATTTATGTCTCCATTATATTTCCACTAAATATTACTATTTTTCCATAATATTTAATATATTTTCCACTTATACTTGTTTCTCCAGAGAGTCAAAGTTAGGTTAGAGGCTGTGTTGTGACACTGAAGTTACTCTGCCCATTCCGAGGCAGAGTTTTGGAGATGAGCTGTGTGCACAGAGGATTCTCCTCTCCATCTCTTGGGGTGTGAGGGGTTAATTGCCCTGAACTTCTCCTTTTCCAGGAGTCTGAAAATACAAATTCCACCATTTCCACTGCTCTGCCTCAGAAATAAACAGGGATTTTACTGGTCCTGGCTAGGACCTCACAAATAAATGGGATTTTGCTGGTCCTGACAAAGGCCTCACATATAAATGGGATTTTGCTGGTCCTGGCTAGGGCCTCACAAATAAATGGGATTTTACTCGTCCTGGAAAAGGCCTCACAAATAAATGGGATTTTGCTGGTCCTGACATGGGCCTCACATATAAATGGGATTTTGCTGGTCCTGGCTAGGGCCTCACAAATAAATGGGATTTTGCTGGTCCTGGCTAGGGCCTCACAAATAAACAGAGATTTTGCTGGTGCTGGCAAAAGCCTCACAAATAAACAGGGATTTTGCTGGTCCTGGCTAGGGCCTCACAAATAAACAGGGATTTTGCTGGTCCTGACATGGGCCTCACAAATAAACAGGGATTTTGCTGGTGCTGGCAAAGCCCTCAGAAATAAACAGGGATTTTGCTGGTCCTGACATGGCCCTCACAAATAAATGGGATTTTGCTGGTCCTGGCAAAGCCCTCAGAAATAAACAGGGATTTTGCTGGTCCTGGCTAGGGCCTCACAAATAAATGGGATTTTGCTGGTCCTGGCTAGGGCCTCACAAATAAATGGGATTTTGCTGGTCCTGACATGGCCCTCACAAATAAATGGGATTTTGCTGGTGCTGGCAAAAGCCTCACAAATAAATGGGATTTTGCTGGTCCTGACATGGGCCTCACAAATAAATGGGATTTTGCTGGTCCTGGCTAGGACCTCACAAATAAACAGGGATTTTGCTGGTCCTGACATGGCCCTTACAAATAAATGGGATTTTGCTGGTCCTGGCAAAGCCCTCAGAAATAAACAGGGATTTTGCTGGTCCTGACATGAGCCTCACATATAAATGGGATTTTGCTGGTCCTGGCAAGGGCCTCAGAAATAAACAGGGATTTTACTGGTCCTGGCTAGGGCCTCACAAATAAATGGGATTTTGCTGGTGCTGGCAAAAGCCTCACAAATAAATGGGATTTTGCTGGTCCTGGCAAAGTCCTCACAAATAAACAGGGATTTTATGAGCTTCTGAAATGGTAAATGTTCCCAGACAACTACATTACATTATTCTTCCCCACCCCCCTCCAAAAACATTTATGTATGGAATTATTTGGGAATTTGTGTTGCACGTTTTGTATCTTATTTCTACCCAAATAAACTTGCTGCTTTGGAGTTTGTTTTTCTCTGCTCTTCAGGCAGTGTGAGCAGTCACTGCCACCACCAGATGTACCTGCTGGCACTCTCCCCAGCAGAATGTTTGTTCTCCTTCTTTTTTCATGCCAGGAAAATGAGCTTTTGTGCAGCATGTGCTGGGGTTGCTCAGAGCCCTGATCCAGCAGAGGAATAAGCTCAGCACAAAAAGCTGCTTTTATTGTTTTGCTGGAGGAGATCCCAGGTTGGTTCTCCCTGGAGTTGGTGGGAAGGGATCAGGCTCTGCTGGAGCTGAGCTCTGCAATCTGGAGAGTAATCTTAGCAAAGTTATTCAATCTGCTTCCAGAATTCCTCCTGTGGTGGGCTGGGTACAGCTTGTGGCAAAGTGCACAAAGCATTTTTAGGTTCTTAATCAGATATTTTCTAAAGAGATGCTTTCTCCATTTTATCCACCTGTTACCAAGTGTTTTGCCAATGTAAGGTTGGTTTATGGAGCTGCAAAATTCCCTCTATTCCCTTCCAGTGCCAAGCAAGTAATCAGAAGTTTTTATGTAATGACCAGGTCAGTGTTTAAGGCATCAATTAGAAAGTGCACAGCCAAGCTTATGTGTCCCCAAATCTGCTGAGAGGGATTTTTAAAATCTTTTGGGATCTAAACAAGGATCACTGGGGTTTTTTCACTCAGTTTTCAGAAGCAGAGATGTCCATACATCTGCAGTGTGCAATTTGCACATGGGCATGGGAGGCACATGGAATCATGGAATAT